TGGGGTCAGTTTGGGGGGGTTTGGGGTCACTTTGGGGGGTTTGGGGTCACTTTGGGGGGATTTTGGGGCATTTTGGGGCTTTTTGGGAGGATTTTGGGGGGGTTTCAGGGGATTTTGGGGTTTTTTTGGGGGGATTTTGGGGTTTTTTGGGGGTTTTTGGGTTATTTTGGGGTTTTTTTGGGGGGATTTTGGGGTTTTTTGGGCCCCCCCCGCCGTTACCTTCGTCGCCGTCCACCACCGAGATCTCCTCGTCCAGCGCGGCCAGGGGGTCACTCTGGGGGGGTCACGGGGTCACCGGAGCCCCCCCGGACCCCCCCAAAGCTCGGGGGAGACGGGCAGGGGGGTTTGGGGAGAAAAATGGGGATTTTGGGAAAAAAAAAAACGGGATTTTGGGGAGAAAAAACGGGATTTTGGGGAGGAAAAACAAGATTTGGGGGAGGAGAAATGGGATTTTGGGGAGAGAAATGGGGATTTTGGGGAAAACAAATGAGATTTTGGGGAGGAAAAACAAGATTTGAGGGAGAAAAAATGGGATTTGGGGAGAAAAACGGGGATTTTTGGGAGAGAAACAAGATTTTGGGGGAAAAAAATGGGATTTTGGGAAAAAAAAGGGATTTTGGGGTGAGAAATGAGGATTTGGGGAGAGAAATGGGGATTTTGGGGGATTTTGCCCGTTTTTACCTCCTCTCCGCCCCCCTGCAGGGGTTTGTACTCAGGGTCCTCGGGGTCTCTGTCAAAATCCGCCCTGGGGAGAGCCCAAAACTCCCTGAATTCACCCCAAAACCCCCGGGAGCCAAAACCCCGGGAATTCACCCCAAAACCCCTGGAATTGGACCTGAAACCCCGGGAATTGGACCCAAAATCCCGGGAATTGGACCCAAAACCCCGGGAATTGGACCTGAAACCCCGGGAATTCACCCCAAAATCCCGGGAATTGGACCCAAAACCCTGGGAATTGGACCCAAAACCCCGGGAATTGGACCCAAAACCCTGGGAATTGGACACAAAACCCTGGGAATTGGACCCGAAAACCCCGGGACCCAAAATCCCGGGAATTTGCCCCAAAAGCGCCTCAGCCCGGAGCTGAACTCAGCCCGGCCCCGGGGCCGGTCGGTATTAGCATGGCTGGGTCATCAGCGGCGCCGCTTTGGGGAGAGAAACCCGGATTTGGGGAAAAAAACCTGGATTTGGGGAAAAAAACCTGGATTTGGGGAGAGAAACCCGGATTTGGGGAAAAAACCCTGGATTTGGGGAGAAAAACCCGGATTTGGGGAGAGAAACCCGGATTTGGGGAGAGAAACCCGGATTTGGGGAAAAAAACCCGGATTTGGGGAAAAAAACCCGGATTTGGGGAGAGAAACCCGGATTTGGGGAAAAAAACCTGGATTTGGGGAAAAAAACCCGGATTTGGGGAAAAAAACCCGGATTTGGGGAGAGAAACCTGGATTTGGGGAAAAAACCCTGGATTTGGGGAGAGAAACCCGGATTTGGGGAGAAAAACCCGGATTTGGGGAGAGAAACCTGGATTTGGGGAGAAAAACCCAGATTTGGGGAGTTTGGGGGTGCCTGGAACCGCCCCAAACACGGAATTCATCAAACGGCCCAAAACCAGCCCCAAAATCCCCAAATTCCCCATAAAATTCCCTGAAATCCACTCAAAATCCACCCAAAACCTCCCCAAATCCACCCAAAACCTCCTCAAATCCACCCAAAATCCCCAAAATCCCCCCAAACCTCCCCAAAATCCCCCCAAACCTCCCCCAAATCCACCCAAAACCCCAAATCTTTCCAAATCCACCCAAAAATCCCCCCAAATCCCCCTAAAATCTCCAAAATCCCCTCAAATCCCCTAAAACCCCGAAGAACCCACTCAAATCCCCCCAAAATCCACTCAAATTCCCCCCAAAATCCCCAAATTCCCCAAAATTCCCCCAAATGCCCCCGAAATCCCCCCAAAATTCCCCAAATCCCCCCAAAATCC